CAAGCCTACACGTGCCCCTTTGCCGTAGGCTCTTTATGGGTTGTTGGAAGACTCTAATAGCATGATACTTATCACGGTGAGTGGTGTGCCGGGGGTAAGGGACTGTGGGTAGCGCCCATGGGTCCCGCTGCCATCACAGCTCTCCGCCGGAGCGTCGTAGACCCTCTGAGTTCGTAATCTTGATAGATAGAACTTAGCCGGGAGACAGCTGATGTCTACAAGTGCTTGCCTAGGTCATAGCACGTGGGAAGAGAGTCATTTAGTTAGCTTTCTCAGGTGACTCGACAGTTAGCCACTGACGAGACACTGATGCGCAGAGGTTTTCACTTCGGCAGATGTATTGGTAAACACCTCACAGGACTGATGCGTATATGGGAGATTTCTGCTAGAGTGCGCTGACACCTTAGGCCCTCCGGGGATATGGTAATGGTGCCGGAGCAACCCTTACGAAGAAGGGCACACTCATGTTGGTCGGGGTAACCTGATGGGGGAGTTTTTAGTATAAGTCTGACTACTTAAAGATTATACGAGAACTCTCCTACCCCAACACAATCAACATCCTCTTGAGAGGCTTTAATTGAGATAAGCCTGAGCTTAACGATATTAAGTTTTACTGTTTACTTTTGTTCTTTACACTTTTGCAAGAGCTGTGTTCAAGAGATTTGAAGTTTGGTGCGGTCGCATCCTTGGGATCCATCTTCCTGAGGGAGCCCCCATTACACAGAGAGCTTGGGAAGCGGTGGGAATGATTCCTTTCAATCCCTGTTGGGTACTCGGGGTAGTAAAGCGAAAGGAGCCGTCTACCACGAAGCTCCATCCTCCGGCAGTTGCCGGTAACCACCCCTCCCATATTCCCAAAACCCCATGCGCTGTTAGTCGCTCCAATGCAAACTGCCTACTCCTTAGTAACTCACAATACCTCCTCCTCCAAACAGCTTAAATTACTCCTTTCTGGCCTTGCTGAAGGCTTTCAGCAAACAATTGCTGATAAGGTACTAGAGGAGGAGGCCTATAAATAGTACAGAGTCTTGGTGCCAGTGGGAAAAGAAAAAAAGGGAAAGACTTCTGACCGCCACAAGTTGACCGAGGCTACAGTGGTCACTTCTGAAACAATGCTGATATTGTGTGAGGAGTGGGAGCGGGTAGATGCTCAAAAGGCGGCTAGGCAGGCAAAAAAGAGTACTCAATTATAGCGCGGCTCATCGAATACCAAACGCATCAGCAAATGACATCTCCCAGACTTTGGACACCAACCAGTCAGACATATCTCCAACAATTGTTGGTCAGGCCACATCGACTAGTGATTTGGAGGATCTCTGGGAGGAAATGGAAGCATTAGAGCTTGATCAGCATGCCAATACAGGCTGTAGTGGGGGGGGGATAGTTGAAGCGATTAGTACTCTACTACGGAATTATTAACTTTGACCTTTGCATCACGGGTTTTGGTATCTTTTTAGTTCAATTTCTTTTGTTTATACTGGGTAATGGTTTGGAGGTCTGGGAGGGAGTTCAAGCATTAAATTTAATAGTTGTCTTCATGGGGGAGGTGCTTTGACCCTGGAGGACCATGATCCAGATTGTGCCATTAGGACCGAGGAGGATCTAGGTCAAAAGCGGTTTCGCCATAAACGACATTATACCAGGAAAAAACCCCAAGTGGTAAATGAATAGGGCTCAATGGATCTAGCATACCAGAGTTGGAATCGCTTTTCAAAGGTAGAGAGCATCACTCCATTCCGCGGTTCAAGTGGTAGGATGATCACTATTATGTTGGCCTGGGTAGTATGTATTATGATTGGAGATATTTGAATGAGAGTTCCTTGTGGTCCTCGATTTTCTTATCCTACCGGAGGTGTCCTATATATACATCACTATCCATCATACATAAGAAAAATCTCTTCCAAGAGTCTCCCATCTCTTTCTCTTCATCAGTCCAGCTGCTATCTCCGTCCTTCCAGCATCTAACAAGATTTTCTGTAACACAATGATTGTGATGCGACACATTCCCATCTCAGTATGTCAGAAACTAAAAGAAAAAAAAGCCCTTTCCAATCCATAGCGTTCAACGCTAGTTGAAAACATCCTCTCAAACATCCTTTCCGACACTTATGATTTCAGAACTGCATCCATTTCTCATACACTCCCTAAAACCAAAACCAACTTCTGAGTTTCCAACTTCTAACATGTAAGATCTTTCTAGCCCCTGAGTATCACATCAAAATGTAAAGCAAGCTTCATGAATTTTAACAGTATGGACACCTACTATCTCGTGGTTGACACCAAGAGGATCCAGATCCTATATCCTAATAACTTCTACTGTGCTTTGACAATGTCAGAATTTCATCACAATCTCACCGATGGCAGGATTAAGCCCTATCTACTGACAGAGAAGAATCTTAAATTTGTGTAGTGACCAGCGATTAGCTGTACCTGACCTGGAGAATAATACATCAAAGTGATAATTACATAAACAATCAGAATTATCCAATCACCAAATGTCACTGGACACACTATCTTCTCCAACTCCTCCGACATACTAGCAATGTTAACCCCCACTACGGCTAACCTCCTACACATGCAAGAAGGAAGAACCCAATTTCACTTGCCTTTCTTCTCTTCCCTGCACTTTATTAGGCACTCCACATCTACCTCCAGCATCCTCCTCTCTACCACGTCACTCAGTTCATACGTTCCGGTCCTTTACAAAGTCCTGCCCTTTTTCCGTTATACCTGATCTGCCAATGTAGCCACCCACACACTCCCTCAGTACATGAAACCCCAATTTAAAGAACCCCATCATCTGACGGTACATTTTTCTAATTCCAGAAAATGAAAAATACTGACAAACAGATCTATCCTGTCTGCCCGAGTTACTGGTTCGAGCCCGTATCAACTCTTGGGACATGAGAACTGGTATCTGATGCACCATTCAATACTGCTGGTTATGCGAGAAGAGGGGTGTGCACTCCAACCATGCCGAATACCCAGCCACTACCCACGTGATGGAGGAGCAACCGCCCAAAGACTAGGACCATTGCCGGGCAATGAGGGGGCCATCCCGGTGGGCATGAATGAAGAGCTGCGGGTTACAGAAATGAGGATACCAGTCGGATTTTTCTCCCCCAGCCCCATCCGATTAGTGTAGGGGGTGGTTTCCCAAGTGCCCTCGATGGAATAACTAATCGTGCAGCAGGAGATTTGCACAGCCAAGTGGGTTCTCGCCACACCACCTGAGGCATCCCTCGGCACCAATCATCAGTATCCATACCAGTGCCTCACTCAAAACCCCTTCCATACTAGTCTGTGGCTGTATCTTCACTATTCCGGCCACATGTTCACTCATATCTGCAGCTACTGTCCCCACCACTACTGCCGCTGCCAATCAAGACACAGGGTGGTCAGAAATCAAGGCTCAGGATGGCTGTTTGGAGTGCAGGTGCTATGTCTGACCCTGGCAGTTAAAATTCAATCCATGGAGTACAATACTGACAAAGTTCACTCTATCAGAATAGTGTTACTAAGCTGCTGTCAAGGACTTGTAGTAGTGGATAATGAAGGGTTCAAGTTTGCTGCTTGACTGATACACTACCCAGTCCAAGAATATCTAACCATCCATCCAGAGCTTTTCCTCAGCCCCTACTCGACAATTGAGGAGACCTACTCGATTCAACTCAAGCATTAGCAGATGATAGCCCTTTCAGGCTCTGATATTGGGAGCACTAATCACATACCCTTCCTTGAATATTCCACCACAGGGAGCTCCCAGATCCTGCGGAAACACTTGCACTTAAACTCTTTAGCAGCTACAAGAATTGTGTATCAATTAAACTACCCATGTTGTCCCCCACCGGCAATGCTGCTTTGCCATTTCTAGTGGTCAGGTGTAGCGTTTCCGAAGGACTTAACCAGTTGAAGACAGATGCTCACCGGTGGCTAAAATGCACCTTACGGGATTTCAATATCGTTCTTCTCTTCACAGTCAAGAAAGCGAACCACTCACAATACACACATACCTGGTCATTACCACCTACGTACTGGTACTTCACACGGATGGAGCAGAGAAACAATGTCCCACTGATCCCAACCCATACAAATGGGCGCACAGCTGATCACCAACTTATTAAAATCCCTAGAAGTGTGAATAATCTTTGTCATATTCAGTATCTAAGTGATAGAAGTAGCAGAGGCCTGTCTAACTAGGGGGATCCTTCATTCAGGAATGAGAAAACAGCTTCCTATACCATGAGTACATAGGGGTACTTGAATGACTGACTGGGAGTTTGTCTTATTATCAGTGGGCCTATTTTTAAATAATATTGAGGTTCATACAGCAGAAACGACTTCCACTTGGGCCACACAACGAAAGACTTTTATTGATAGGAGTAATAGCAATAAGGGAGGAGAATCCAAGAACTGAAAGAACCAATAGTATCGTGAACTGACAATGAATAACTTTAACAGAAGTAGAACCAATCGGTAAAGGCAAAGAGAGAAAGACAGTAATTTCGATGGATGATCATATAACTAATGAGCAAAGGAAATAAACGGCTCTATCTCCAACGATCCTTCTCCCAGACATGTTACCAGCACATGCGCGATTTATCTCTTCCCCCTATGCTATCTTCCTGCTTGCTTTATGGACACATTCCTGAGGTATGGAGCTTCGGGCCGAGGGCGGGGTTCGGTAGGTTGCTGTTTGATCCTGATACAGCAAATATGCAGGATCAGTATGAGGTTCGGTATGAAGCTAATGGTCGTGGAACATCTCTAAAACAATAAGTGGTATGAGACGTTTTGCTGGGGCGTTTCTGATCCTCCAAGGATTGAGAATAGCGCATGTGATAAGTAGCCAAGAATGATGAATGTCCAACACCTATGGTATCACACGACATGCATTTCTGGTGTTTCCTGCCTACTTCCCACCTTATTGACCCCAACGCATGACAGAGAACTAATTCAGAAGCGAGTAGGTTGCGCATTCCATGGCGAATATAACGGACCCACTCTTGCTCATTGCTGGCAGCCTACAAAGTAGTCTGCCCACACAAGGTGCTTTGTGGCCGCTAGATGCTGTATCGGTGCTAGTGTCACCACCAAACCTTTTGTTCCACCACCAAGCTTGGAGGGCCAGCAGCAGGCGATTCGGGATCCGTATCGACTCGCTTTCTACAGGAGACTAGGGGTTGGGTTCGTGTATTTACAGGCGGGCTCTGTCCGGAGTGTGCCGAGGGAGGTTGTGCTGATTGAATGGGTGGAGATGCAGCCCCAGTTTCTTAGTAATGAGCAGAGGGTACGTATGGTCGCAGAAGGGTTGAAGGGGACGGGGAGGCGGTTGGTTGTCATTTGGCGGGGAGCGGCGTACACGAGGCCTGCGGGGGCGTTGAAGGACCCCATTGATATGTGAGGATTTACTGCCTTCCACCATCTGTCGATCTATCGAGGTCTTATTGGGACTAATGAAGACGATAGGACTAAAATCCCCTTCCCCCCAACCCTTCAAGGCAAAGGCGTCCTCCTAGACGACCATCTACGTAACACCTCCGCGGCCCGGCTCCACTGCCCTTGCTGGTACAAAGGCTGCCCTCCTTGTGGATCCCCAGCTAAACTGGATCCTGCACTCTGGCAGGCTGCCACAATGGTCCGCGGGAGCACGCATTACCCAAATCGACATAATCCCTGAGGAACTCGACTGTGACGCGGAAGACTGGTGGGATGGAATATATTGAAAGTCATGGGTACTCACTTGTCGTTTGATTGTTCTAGAACTTGTTGGTCAACCTGGTTAGTGATGGCGGTTGGTGGCTTTGTATGTGAGTTTCACACTAGCAGAGATTTCTCCAGCTAGTATAGTTTTATTTCATGTTCAGTTTCAGAATAGGGGAATGGTCTCTATTGGGGGTTTGGATACCTGCTGGGAGGGTTCGGCAGTGTTTTGGTAAGGCCCGGTATGCCAGTTACAGTGGATATGGGTGTGAGAACTTCTGTCTGGGCTGGACCTCGGGAGAGAAGAGAGATACCGGAAATGCTGGGAGGTCATGTTTTAGGATAGGGAGGAGTTTTTTTACGGCATGTTGATGGGCATTCTGATTGTGGTTATGGGCATCATCGCTCTATATAAACCCCCCTTATTGCCCCATAGATAGAAAAAACGAGCAAGCAGAAGACGTCAAACTCCTCCCTGTATTTTTCTTCCATTCTCCCACAACGCATATCCCGCATATCTTTCAATATAATAAAGAGGGGAAGGTGCGGGATGTTCTCCCTACAAGCACCGTACTGGAATCCGAGAAGGGGTATGAAATTGTTGTGGCGGTATTGGGCGCCAGGACATGGAGGGTTGCGGATAAAGTGGGGAAGCACTTGCCAGGGCCAGGCGAGAGGCATCAAAGCGCAGGGATGGCCTGAATGTGATTGATGTTATTGTTGTTTCCTGGGTCGGGGGAAGCTCACCCTCCTCATGTTATACTTCTCATAGATCACACTATCCCTTCTCAATGTACTTGATCTCTGATGGTAGGGATGCAAGGCTGCTGGGCGATGGTGGATTTATCGGGTTCATACGGTACCCCTCTTTTACCGTCTGTTTTCCATTGTCAAATAAGTCGGCCAAAAGATGCAACGTAGGAATCGCATATTGCGATTCATTCCAATAACGAAAACAGGCCATTCGAATAACCAAAAAAAACTCCAATGTCTACCCCCCCTCCCTGAGTCCATGATACTTAAATTACCATGACCAATTGGAACAGATAACCGTCAATATGTTGACTTACCCGAAACGCAATCTTTGCCATCTCTAAGACAAGACTCAAACTTGCCCACCTGTTCCGCCGCAGCTTTACATTTCTTGCGGTCATATATACTCGCCAGATCCGCATTTGATACGATTTGATGATGGCTCACCAATGGAACGTGAAGGGGTGGTCGGCCAGGGCCGGGACAGGTGGACTAATGCAGATTCCAATTCAAGCGAGTCTGCCTGCGAACAAATTAGGAAAGGTGAGTCTCTTATAATACGCCCTCCGACTGACAGAAGCGAAGCCGGAATGAATACAACGGACACTAACGAGCCGAAAGTGGGGGGGGTAGCCAAGTGGTGCCCCAATATGGCGGTATGGCAAGCGTACCAATAGAGGCCCGAGGACTGATGTCTACCTTCTCTACAGGACCATGGAGAAAAAACATCACAATTCCAGGCCAAGCATTTTCAAAAACCCTCCACTTATCTCTACAAACCATCCATGGCAAAAGTGTCACATATCGTGCCATGTTCTCTGATATCACGCTAGGTTTGTGATCCTGTCGAGTGATACATATTACTGTGAAACCGCGGGAGTCATGTAGTATTTGGTCCGCATTTGGCTACTTAGGTGCTCAGGTATTATGAGAAGATAGGGTAAGAATAAGAATATCAGAGAAAATTCTTATATGGATCATACTGTGTATACAAGTAAGGGTGAATGTAATGACTAGTGTTGTTCACGAGCCGGCTCGAGCCGAGTCCAGACCTGGACTCGAGCCGCCAAGAGGCTTGAGTCTAGAGTGGCCACGATACCTCTACACACTGCCACAATCATTCAAATCAACCAACAATTGTATATAGCAACTTGAAAACAAATACAACTAGCCAAATAACCTTCCCACTATCCCCGAGTCCAATTCCTGGGGAAGTTCACCATCCCCCCCCGTGTCTGCCTCATAGTTCCTATCTTCCCCACGGGTTTCCTCTACCTCTTCCCATGTTTCCACCTCTGGTAGCCCAAGCCAGGCCTTGGTTAGCATAAGCAATCAGATAGTCCTACCTACCATGCAATTGCGCTTTTTTGTACTGCATTGGTAGTGGTAGGAGGCGGGTGGTGGTAGGCGGAGGTGGTGGTATATGAGACATGGAGTTGCGGCGGTAGGAGGTTTCAATGGTTTGACGGATAAGCGGCAGCAGCGCCAAGAGACTCGAGTCGGCTCGTGGACCCCTGTTCAAGCCTAGTGACCACCTAGGCTCGAGTCCGCTCAGCTCGTGCACAACACTAGTAATGAACCAGATTCGTTACTCTCCTTTCTTCCTTCTACCCTATTCCCTGAGAGGCAGGGCAGAGTGCTGGTAGGTAGAAGAAAGAGACAAAGAAAACAGGGAAGGAACAAATGAAAGGAGTAAAAATATCTGATAGTGCAAAACTGCCTTGCCACACTGGCTCTTACTAGCTAAGAAATACCATGCCCTGTTGAGGGTGCTGCCTCGTTGAGCCCACAGAGACTCTAACTACCATATCACCTTTTCAAAGAATGAGCATGAAGAAGTACAGCATTTGGTGGAGGTTTCATGAGCCTGATGCGACCGACAACATTGCCTAACACTATTGATAACTTCCACCCAAGGCTCACTGCACAGACCCTCCAGTGATGGGGTGAGCCTATTTTTAAGGATAAGCCTGAGACAACCCTTTCTAGCAGTAGTAACTGGGAAGAAATTGAAAGCATTTGATATTCAATAAGTGGTATATGAGTACAAGTTCAAAGAGAAAGAAAACCCAACTTTCATCCCCCACAAACCCCACCAAAGCCACCGCCAAAGCCATTCCCAAACTCCCCCCTCCTGCCATAGAACGCAAACCCAATACCCCCCCCCACACACTTATCCATGAGCTGATCAAGGTCAGCCTGAAATCTTATCTTAAGCAAATGTTATAAAATATTGACTTACAAGATCAGTGTGGAAAGACAGCCTTATGGCACAGCGCTCCAGATGTCTGTAGTCCATTCTTCGAGATCTGCCACAGAAAAGATAATATCACCCTCCAAGGTATCTTGGATGGACTGCCAGAGGAAATGTTTCTTGAACTCCACTGTCAATAAACCAGTGGTGGAAACTGGCCACAAGATATCTACTTCCGCTGTTTGTAGAGGTATCTCCAGAAAATCATTGGCACAGGCTGGGGTAGCCAGTGCCCTTGGGATGTTCACCATTTCCTATTTTTTGATGTGAATAGTTTTGTTTGTTTTCTTGATTTGGAACAGGAGAACAATACAGTGTTCCCAACCATCCCGGGCATCCCAGGCAGGGTGGGTAAGGCCGGCAGGGTATGGCGTCCGTCTTGGATGCAGACCGTGACCGGTGTTCGAAAGGGTTGATGCCCAGGCCCTGGTGTCCTAATACAAATGGCATCTTCTGGCCGTCCTCACCTGGGACCGGCCATGCCAGTGATTCGCAGAGCCCGACTGTCATTCGCAGGCACCGGCCATTATTTGTAGACCCTGCCATCATCTGCAGGACCCCATCATCATCTGCAGGGCCCGGCCGTCATCTGCAGGGCCCGGCCATCATCTGTAGAGCCCTGCTGTCATCTGTATGGCCCAGCTCTCATCCGCAGGGTCATTTGCAGGGGAGACACCTACCGGGCCTGGCCGGCCGTCAGGGTTGTGGTTAGGATGGACCACAGAATAGGCGTCCATCCAAGGGAGAGTTCCAGAAATGGGAGTCCGTCCCATCCAAAGCCAAGGACGAATGGACTGGATGCTTGGGAACACAGGAACAATGTTGACATCTCTGGAGGAGCTTTTTAGCCACCAGCAGCATCCGTCTTCAACCGGTTTAGTCCTTCTAAAACCCCACACTCACTCACCACTGTTGGCCAATGGGCTATGCGGGGGTGGGACGATGAGAGTCTGAAGGCCGAATCAGCTTCCTTACAACTTGTAATACCCTGATACCTTGCTCTGCACTTATTTTTATGCTCACGGTCGAGCTTCATGACAATGATCGTCTTCCGCAGCATGAATGCAAAGTCCTTAGTATCTTGTTTGTAGACTCCTCGGGGTATGCCGACTTTGACAATTAATGTCTGCTGGTATTGGTGATAGGTGAAGCGGAGTTGTTTGTAGCGGCTATCATGAAGTGCATCGATTTTTGTAAGCTGATCTTGACTTACAGAGGAAAATACCATGTACCGTCAACCCCGGCCTGCCTCCAATGCTCTTGCCTGTGACAAAACACTGATAGCAAATGTGCGGCTGTCAATATATGGCTTATGCACTACTAGATCTGACAATTCAGGGAGTGAATAGTGCATCCACATTGGTGCAATAGGTGATTGAACTGGGGAGCTAGCTTGGCTCCTGGTGGGAGTTGGATAGGCACCAACATGCTAGTCAGAAATGGCGGGCATCCTTTCATACTGGTTGGTGGTAGATCTCCGAAAGAAAATGTGATTCCACTTAGAGTTCGTTACGGGGCCTCCAGGGCCCCGAAAAACACGGGCTCCCGGCCCCATTCCCCGCCCCGGCCCGCTCACCGGCCGGGGGCGGGGCATTTTTGGAGGCTGGCCCTGCCCCGTCACCCGCCGGGGGCCCCGCCGGGGGCCCCGCCCCACCCATGCCCCAGACGGGCCCCCGGCAAATTTAGGTGGGAAGATGCGGGGCCCCGGACGGGGGCGGGGTGGGGAGGACTGCCACAATACCCCCCCCGGGCCCGTGTAACGGCGGGGCCCAAGAGGGCAAACCCCGCCCTGCCCCGCCCCGTAACGAATACTAATTCCACTGTGATACCCTCAGTATCAGAGATAGCGGTAGGGGGTAGAATTTTCAGGTAGGGAGGAGTTGTGGGTGATGTGACTTGAGCTGCTGCTTGTCCTCTAGTCGATTAGAGCAGTTACGACTCTCTGGTTAATATTCTGTGCTAAATGTGGGAGTTAGT